TAAAACTCGTTTTCGGTGTTTATTAGGAACCTTGCAGTACAAACCAAGAAAGGTTGTGAAAATAATTAATGTATATGTTGCCTTGCATAATATTTGACGCCACTATAATCTTTACTTTTATTTTCTTTACTTACATTCTTAGCTGTTCGCTGACTATAAAATTTTTCCTTTGACCGTTAACAGTTATAATTTTGTTCTTCGTTTTGATTATTTTCTATTCACTGGCTTTTAGCTGATCGGAACATTTCCGATAAAAAATTTCCGATAATCGGAATGCAGAACATCAAATTTCCGATAGAATTCCGATTCGTAGTGGATCGAAAATCGATTTTTTCGAATAGATCGGGCCCTGGACCACTTCCCGAAAAAAATGGGTCATATTTGCTAATATATGCTAAAAAGCTACTTACGTACTAAATTTTAAGCACATCGGACTATAATAAGATTTTTTCGAATAGACCGGTCCCTGGTCCACCTACCCGAAAAAAAGTAAAATTTTTTTAGCCTAAAACATGGTGGTTACCGAAAGCTATTTGTATACAAAATTTCATGAAAATCGGACCAGCCGTTCGCGAGATTACCTGTTACAAAGAAAAGGGACTTCTCTTTATATAATTAGTATAGATTAAAAAATGCGGGAAGAAGAATTCCACTGAATTCAATGTGATGCGTTTTCCACACATCTAGTGGTAGCTCGCCACTTCGCGTATCAGCTGTTTATCTGCCCAGGGATTGGCAGCGCTGCCAAGTACGAAAACGAGTTCCTGGGCGCGCTCTCAGAAAAAATGAGAGAGTTTCATATCTAGTTATCCATGATTTAGCGTATCGATAGTCAGAATTCCAGTGCTGATCATTCAAAGTGTCATGGTGCCGCTTCATTGTAGCAGGATCACCACGCGCATAATTTTCTGTAGAGGGAATGTCATTTGGCCACTGAGATCAGCCGACTTGCCACCCTTGGATTTTTTTATGATACTACTCGGATGACCTTATAAACCTCTGACTTTGGTTTATTATTTGCAAATTTGTATTTGTTGTTTTCTTAGACTTGTGTGGATTTTTTTTTAAATACTGTTTGCTGCCGCACTGCTTTAAACAATTGTTCAGTTGCAGGTATACTGCCGGTGGTCGCACCGCTTGAAAATTTTGTCATTTTAATTACAGAAATACTGTTGGCAGTCGCACCACTTGAAACAAAATTGTTGTTTGCACTTTTTTATACCTTTCATGAGCATGAAATGGTATTATAACTTTGGTCCGCTGTTTATAAGTACCAGAACAAAAAGAGATAGACCCATTAAAATGTATACTTATATGATCAGAACGTCGAGCTGAGTTGATTTAGCCATGTCCGTCTGTCCGTCTGTCTGTCTGTTTGTATGCAATCTAGTCTCCCAGTTTTCGAGATATCCGGATGACATTTGGTAGGCGGGTGTATTTTAATAATGTATTAATCATTTGTCGGAACCGGAAGAATCGGACCACTATAACATATAGCTCCCATACAACTGATTGTTCAAATATGAGATTTTTCGTTATAACTTCTCCATTTATGCAGCTATGAACATAAAATTTTGCAATACTTGCACCCATTATCAACAGAATACTCACAGTGAAAATTACAAAGATCGGGTCACTATAACCTATAGCTCCCATACAACTGATTGTTCAGATATAAAATTTTTCGTTATAACTCCTCCATCTATATAGCTAGGAACATGAAATTCCGCACTGTTTTCAATAATTATCAACAGAAAACTTACAGTGAAAATTAAAAAGATCGGGTAACTATAACCTATGGAC